GTGTTCTTACCTGGAGAATCCCAGGGATGGCGGAACCTGGTGGGCTGCCGTCTATGGGGTCGCACAGACGGACACGACTGAAGTGACTTAGCAGCAGCAGCATAACTTCACAATTACATAGGGACCTACACAAACCATACATACCCCCATTTCATTATACAGCCATCTGCATACACGGATAGGTATGTACACATAGCATGATGCTCAATGATTAATGTGCCTCAGTAGGCACAAACTCTTATTCACCAGCCAGGGAAATGTATTCTCAAAAACATGCATTTTTGAGACTCACCTAGTGGAGCAGTGGATAAGAATTTGCCTGCCAATGCAAGGGACACGGGTCCAATCCCTGGTCCCAGAAGATCCCACATGCCGAGGTATGACTGAGCCCGTGTGCCACACCACAGAGCCCACTCGCCTAGAGCCTGTGCTCTGCAACAAGAGAAGCCACTGCAATGAGAAGCCTGCACATCGAAGGGATGAATAGCCCCCGCTCACCGCAACTTAGAGAAAGCCCAAGCAGAAAAGCAACGAGGACCCAGCACAGCCAAAAAACTGAAAAATAAGTAAACCAAAAACATGCGTTCGATATAGATGGAGATTTGTCTTAGAGAGAAAGGCCTGTTAACAGCGCAATGTCACACTTCTGATGGAGAGTAGATTCCATTCTGTCAGACCTCCTTCCGTGCTCCATTTTCTCCATCACCTCTCAGGATTCCCTACCCTCTTTAGACTTTCCAGGAAGTGAAGAACAGAGCAGAGTACCTGGATAGAGGAGGTAGGGGCCTAATTGGAATTCCACCTCTGCCAAGAGCCCTCATGTACTATTGGGAAAAACCACTCAGCTCCTCTGATCTGACACCATCTCCATCTTTAAAATGAGGCTGATGAATTACACTAGTGCTTCTTCTTTTATTTATTTACTTTTTATTTTGGTTGCACTGGATCTTAGTTGCAACCCTTGGGATTTTAGTTGCAGCATGTGAACTCTAGTTGCGTCATGTAGGATCTAGTTCCCCGACCAGGGATGGACGCCAGGACCCCTGCATTGGTAGCACAGAGTCTTAACCACTGAACCACCAGACAAGTCCCTACGCTCTTGCTTCTAAACTCTTCCCTTCAAGGACTTACTTGTCCTTCCCCTGTCGTACTTTTCCCCGCTCCCCCATGGCTCTCGTGATTTTGAGGGTTTTGCTGACTAAACTACCTCATTTAGGTACTAATTTTGTTGTTTCTAGTTCAAATTTTAATCAGATACTTAACCAAGTATGCATTGTGTGTGTGTGTGTTCAGTCGCTCAGTCGAGTCTGAACTGTGTCTTACTCTGTGCGACTCCACAGACTGTAGCCTGCCATGCTCCTCTGTCCATGGGATTTTTCCCTACAAGAATACTGGAGTGGGTTGCCATTTCCTCTTCCAGGCAATCTTTCCAACCCAGGGATCAAACCCGTGTCTCCTGCATCTCCTGAATTGGCAGGCAGATTGTTAACCACTAAGCCACCTGGGAACCCCAAGTATGCATTGAAGAAACAATAATGCAATTTGTCAAATTGAGAAACAAATCACCTGCAAGCCTTCAGTGTTATTCTGGATGCAGCCTCATAGGTGCATGTAGCTCCCAGTGGCTGGGAGCCACTCACCAGAATTATGTCTGACACTGCCAGGTCTTGGGGTCTTCTGATTGCTGCCAAGTGTTATACTCCAAAACTCACACTTCTGTACAGGGCAGGGCCTGAAACTCGGTCCTCAGCTGGAGGACTCCAGGGGCCCTAAACAAGTCACAGAAGAAACACTAAGGGTCAGATACCCAGCAGAGTTACCAAGTACCATTTTCCTTAATTTAACACAGCTTGACTTTTTCTCACTCCTGGCCCGTCTTTTTTTAATCGACGTATAGTTGATTTACAATATTGTGTTAGTTTCAGGTATATAGCAAAGTGATTCAGTTATGCATATATATATTTTTTTCCGATTCTTTTCCATTATAGGTTATACAAGATACTAAATATAGCTCCCTCTGCTATACAGTAAATTCTTGTTATTTATTTTATATGGAGTGGTGTGTATCTGTTAATCTCATATTCTTAATTTATCCCTCCCCTCCCCCATCCCTTTCCCCTTTTGGTAGCCACAAGATCATTTTCTTTTTTTTCCACAAGATCATTTTCTAAGTCTGAGTCTGTTTCTGTTTTGTAATAAGTTCCTTTGTATTAGTTTTTAGATTCTGTATATAAGTGATATCAAGTAATATTTGTCTTTCTGTTCCTGGCTTATGTCACTCAGTGTAATAATCGCAGGTCCATCCATGTTGCTGCAAATGGCAATATTTCATTCTTTTTCACCTGGTCCCAGTCTTTAGGGACATCATCATGTCCTCTCTGGCAGGTCCAGATTTATCCAGGGTATAGGTCCTGCCTGCACGTTTTCCTGGACCCTCGCCCAAGGCCAGGCAGCTCCTCTTCTCTCCCCTTGTGACCCCAGCCTGGACCACGTGCAGTATTCAGCCCTAGATTCAGCATAGATTTCCTCTGCCGGTCGACCAGCCTCTCCTCACTGCTGCACCCCAGTTCAACCCCAAGCTTTTCTCATCTTGCTCTTACCTTTTCCAAAGCCCCTGAGAATATCAGGCCTAGAAGGGACTTAACTAATCTAAGTTGACACTTTATCTGATGTTGGTGTTCTCTGTATAATATAGCCAACTGGTGGTTTTCCAAGGGCTGTTTGACTATCACAAAAACCAGATGGCTCAGGACCTCAGACCTTAAGACAGTCAGCTCATCTGAGGCTGGTTCAAGAATGTATAAACAGTTCTTTTCTGGAGGCTTTTGCTGTTAATCAGTTCTAAACCATAATAAAATTCACAATCAAAAAAAATAAAAAAGCCGTTTGCAGCCACAGAGCTGAGCAAGATTTCTCAAATGTCTCCCCAAGACTCCTAAAGTAAGGAGGAAGAGTAGATGCGCGAACACCTTTCCTTGAGAGTCTCTTGATTTGGCTTAAAATTTTATGTACATTTTGTATTTTCCTCTGTAATAGATCTGTTTGTTTAACTATGTGAATAAGGTTTAACTATGTGTTTAACACTCATGCTTTGAGAGGTACACACCCGTGACTTCCGGTACCCATGAAAGGTTATAAGTACCTCAGTTTAAGAGACATGAGCTTATCAACTACACTCCAATATAAAATAAAAATTACATTAAAAAAAAAAGAAATGTGAGCTTAAAGCCAAGAAAATTATTTACCAGTCACATTCTTCAACTTTCCAAAGCAGGGGTTGGTAAGGCAGAATGGGTACTCATGGAAGTCTTTCTAAGCTCTAAACCAAGCCAACATTTATCTAAGCTTCTGAGGAAGGGATGACAATTCCCAATTGACAGAAAAGGCAGAGTGAAACTAGAGGAGAATGATTTCAGCAAAGTGACATAATGAGAATTATCCCCAGAATTTGACCATAACTCCAGGGACTATCCTTGAATCTTTTTTTTTTTTTCTTTTTTTCTTTAATTGAGTTATAACTGAATAGGTCCTTAAGTCTTACTAACTAAAAAAACACCACTGCTCCCCACTTCTGGTTGACCTCAGCATGGATTAGCAGCTCTAGCTTTGTTCTGCCCATAACAGTTGTCTGAGTTTGAGCAGAACTTTCTGGTCCTCTGTTTGCTCATCTAAAATCTGAGGTTAGACTTAGTGGTTTCTAAGACCTTTGCAAATGGGAGAATCTGTGCATTAACCCTCCACATACCAGTCAACATTTATTAACAAGAATCGTCCTGGGTGATGGGACATTCAGGCAAATAAAACACAACCTCTTCTCTTGCTGAATCCCTGTTCTCACCAAGTGGGTAGGAAAGGCAGGGGGACAGACACATAATTTAGTGTCATCATGGCAGTCAGTGGAAGTTGATGATTGTGGTTGGTCAGAGTGGAATGTTGTAGGAACAAAAAGCATTGGGCATTGGGGAGGCTTCACAGAGAAGGTGATATCTGAGCTGAGTCTTGAAGGTTGAGCTAGAGTTCAATAGATGGGCAAGAGTATTCCATGGCAGGTGAACCACACATGCAAAGGTACGTTGTAAGAAGAGTGTGAGTTTTTTTGGGAAGAGGAGCTCAGAAGACAGACTCTGTGTGTGTGTATGTGTGTACACACATGTGTGTATAGCAGAATAGACTGAGGAGATGGATTTGATCTTGATATTAAAGCTTCTTGAATGCATAAATTAATTTATCTGAGGACTGGTATTTCCAGGTAGTCCAGAGGACCAGCCCTGGAGGCAGAGGTACTGTAAGTCCACCCCTGGGGACTTAGGGGTGTGATCCCCACTCTGCTTCAGGCAGAACAGCTCCACTTCTACCTGCTTTATCTACGGGGTTCCGCTCGATTTCATCTGACAAAAAGTTTCCACTGCCAAAGCAAGCAAACAAATACAAAAAATGTATGGCCAATATGGCCACTGAGGGGTTTTCTGATAGGAAGAAGCAGAAAGAAGCCTCTGAAGCGGACTCTGTGGGGGATTTGGGAGAGCAGAGGCCTGATGGCTGACATTTGGGAGAGGCGGTCCCTCATTCAGTGTCCTCGGCAGCAGGGGGGAGCTTGTAATTAGGAGGTGAGGTACACACACCCCACTGGTAGGGGAGGATCAAAACTCAGGTCTCCCCTAGGGCTGGGGGAAGTGTATGTGATCTCTACTAGGTAGTCCCCCAACTTGGGGGATGGGCTGAGAAAGTGGGAGGGGGGAGAGGCAGGAAGTGGGCAACTAGACTAACAAAGGTGCCTGTGGCGGTTTACCCAGCCCAGGTGGGAGGGCGGGGCCTAGGTCTCAGCAGGGGCCATGTGTGACTATTGGGAGCTAGGACCCCATTTCAGCTTTTCCGTGGCTGGAGAATGGTGGCTGGGGGGCTGACAATCTCAGGCACTTCTGGAAGTTCCCAGGGCTAGGCCCTAGCATGTCTGATGTTGGGGGAGCCCTTTCAGCCCCCTCTCCATTCCCCCAGGGACCATGGGCTGTAGCTGCAGCTCAAACCCAGAAGATGACTGGATGGAAAACATCGATGTATGTGAAAACTGCCACTACCCCATAGTCCCACTGGATAGCAAGACCACGGTAAGAGGCAAGACAGGGGGCTTGGTGAGGGAGTCGGGTGGGATGTAGGCGTGGGGAGAAAGGAACAGATCATCCCTACAGGTCCTGGAGATGACAGCGAGCCCCCCTGCCACACAGAAAGGAAAACCCTAGAGAGGGAAAGGGACTCTCCTAAGGTCACACAGCAAGTGGTGGGCAAATTCAGTAAGAAGATTCAGCCAAGCTGAAGTGAAGGCGAGCAGGAGAGTGGGGAGGCAAGCCAGGGTCTCACCCAGCCTCCAGCTCTCTGACTTCTCTCATCCCACGCCCACAGCTGCCCATGCGGAATGGCTCTGAAGTGCGTGATCCACTGGTCACCTACGAGGGATCCAACCCCCCAGCTTCTCCACTGCAAGGTGACTTCAACCAGCAGGGCCTGAAAGACAAGGCCTGAGGATCCTTGGCTGTCAGCCTCCGTCCCCTCCTCTCCTCCCTGACTTCTAACTCCTGAACTCACCCTCCCAGCCTGTTCCAGAAGTCTTCTCCCTGACTGCCCCTGTCTTTACAGACAACCTGGTTATCGCCCTGCACAGCTATGAGCCTTCTCACGACGGAGACCTGGGCTTCGAGAAGGGTGAACAGCTCCGTATCCTGGAGCAGTGAGTGCCCCCCTTCGCCCTGCCCATCCTGGGGTATCTTCAGTACCGCAAACCCCTGCGGTCCCGGCTTGCGGTGGGAGCCCTTCAAACAAAAACGGGAGGCTCCGGAGTGCTGAGCTGGAGGGTGGGGTGGCATGGCCTAACTAGGGGCTCCGACGGAGGGTTTCCAGCCGAGTCCGAGGCTGTGCAGACCATGCTAACTGCCGCCGTCGCGCAGGAACGGCGAGTGGTGGAAGGCGCAGTCCCTGACCACGGGCCAGGAAGGTTTCATCCCCTTCAACTTTGTGGCCAAAGCGAACAGCCTGGAGCCCGAACCGTGAGTGGGGACGCGTCATGGAAATGGTGGGACGCAGATCCAGGGACCTCGGAGCAGAGGAGAGGTGCTAGGGGTGGTGGCGGTGAATGCTTGAGGGTGATAGAGGAAGACTGGACCAGCGGACCAAAGAAGCCTTCGCTTCTGCCTTGAGCAGCTGGTTCTTCAAGACCCTGAGCCGCAAAGACGCGGAGAGGCAGCTCCTGGCGCCGGGAAACACGCACGGGTCCTTCCTGATCCGGGAGAGCGAGAGCACGGCGGGTGAGCCGAGGGGCTGCTGCGGGGCGTCGGGAGGGGGCCGTGGGCTGGGGGCCGCTAGCCGAGGTCCGGGGTGCGAGCAGCCCGCGGGGGTGAGGGGCGTGGGAGCCGCGTTGGCGGAGGGGCGACTCGCTGGAGGCCACCCCTCCCCGTCTTCTGCGTTCCTTCATCCCTTCTTTCGTTCAGGATCGTTTTCACTGTCGGTCCGGGACTTCGACCAGACCCAGGGAGAAGTGGTGAAACATTACAAGATCCGTAACCTGGACAAAGGCGGCTTCTACATCTCGCCCCGCGTCACTTTTCCCGGCTTGCACGAGCTGGTCCGCCATTACATGAGTGAGCGCGGCAGGACTTTTCACCTGGGCCATACCTATCAGCCCGTCTCCCCCGGTTCCTCTCAGGGGTCCCCCTCCACTCCCCGCCCATCTCTCAGCATGCTCCTTCATTCCCCCCACCCCCACCCAAGTGCGTGAGGGGCGGTACCTTGTAGCCTCAGGGATCAGGTGACAGCCCCATTCCTCCCCTGCCTGTCCATGTCCCCAGGTGGGGACTGAGTGAGCCCCCAACCCCCAGTCCCGCCTTACTGACAGCCCTTCGCCCCTCCCTTGACCTCATAGATACTTCGGACGGGCTGTGCACACGGCTGAGCCGCCCCTGCCAGACCCAGAAGCCCCAGAAGCCGTGGTGGGAGGATGAGTGGGAGGTTCCCAGGGAGACGCTGAAGCTGGTGGAGCGGCTGGGTGCTGGCCAGTTCGGAGAGGTGTGGATGGGTGAGTGAGGCCCCCCAGGACTGCGGGCAGGTGGGGAGGGGAGTCGTCTATTGAAGTCCTGAGAGTTCTAGGGCAGTACCCTGAGCGACTCTCTCTCACACACACACACCCTGTTTCAGGTCAGCTGTCTGGCTCTGAGTACTTGGGCTGCGAGTGACCCTCCCATCCCTTCCCTGCCCTAGGGTACTACAACGGGCACACGAAGGTGGCAGTCAAGAGCCTGAAGCAGGGCAGCATGTCCCCCGATGCCTTCCTGGCCGAGGCCAACCTCATGAAGCAGCTGCAACACCAGCGGCTGGTCCGGCTCTACGCGGTGGTCACCCAGGAGCCCATCTACATCATCACGGAATATATGGAGAACGGTGGGCGCCATAGCCGTGCGCGGCCGCTGGGGGCGCTGCCGTCTCCTCTGCCCCCTCCGGGAGTGGGGAGGAGATATGTGTGGCTCTGCACTGAGGTTTTTCTAGAGGAATTTTGCTGAGGCCTCAAAGACTGACCTTCAGGGGCGACAAGAGGGTGTGTGGAGAAGAGGGTGTTCTGTTTGAACCGTATCTGGGAGCCCAGCTTGAGGTGGCAGACTCTGGTTGTTCAGCCGCTCAGTCGTGTCCCACTCTTTGCAACCCCATGGACTGCAGCATGCGAGGCCTCCCTCTCAGGTTCTGGAAGAGCACTCAACCCCCATTTTCCCTCACCTGCAGTACTGTTTGCCTTCTTCAAAGCCTTATCTTGATCTAAGGATGCTTGATCTCAGGAGATGAGTAGGTCCCTAGCCCCTTTTCTATCTCTTCTGCCCCCAGCCTTGCGGGGTCTGATGTGTTCCAACACCCTCTTTTTCAATTCTTGATGAGCCTCTCCCTGTCCCTTCCACCACTGTTGGACAGATTGAGAGCCCAAGGAAGGGTAATTTAAATAAATAGGAATTTCTAGGCCCAGCTTTGGGCCAAGTCTCTGTCCCACCTCTGCGGCTCAGTTCCCTCAAGAATAACAGCAGAAATCTAAACAGGCTTATCCATCAAGGGCTCTGACTGCTTGGGATGGAATCCTGGCTTGAGGACTGTGTGGCCTTGGGCTGATCACTTCACTTCTCTCTGCCATGGTTTCCTCACCTGTAAAATGGTGATAATAATGCAATAGTAACTTTCTTATAGGATCTTTGTGAGGATGAAAGCTAATGCATATAGAGCAGTTAGAACAGTGCCTGCTGTATAGTAATGGCTCAGTAAGTTTGTTGTTATCTGGCTCTGATTCTCTGGGAGTATAAAATCTGTCCCTCTTTCAGGAAGGGAAAAAAGCTAATTGGCTAATGGATTCTGAAAATGGCAAATAGCAGGCCACCTTCAGTTGGTAGTTGCTTGGAGCTCTGTGTTGAGAAGGATTCTGAGGTTCATTGGAAGTGAGCACTGGGATTGAGTAGCAATATCTGCCATAGACACAATGGAGGAATGACAGGGTCTGTCCACATATTTGCTGCCGTTGGGTGAGGTTTTGTCTCAGTGACTAATTCAGCACTCAAATGGGGACATTCAGGTTGTTGTCCTCTTCACACAGGGTTTTAATCTCTTGAGAAGGGCCAATGGTTACTAGCTCTGTTCCAGCCACTCTAATGCCTGGTATTTTCCTAGTTACCCTCTGCTACCAGAAAGATGGTCCCTCACTCCCTCATGATAGCTATTTTCATATTCCATTTTATGTATTCAGCATACATTTATTGCTGTTTACTGTGGGCTGGGAGGAGCTTCCCACGTGCCTCACATAAAGAATCCACCTGCCAATGCAGGAGACACAGGAGATGCAATTTTGGTCTCTGGGTCAGGAATATCCCCTGGAGGAAGAAATAGCAACCCACTCCAGTATTCTTGCTTGGAAAATCCCATAGACAAGAGGAGCCTGGTGGGCTACAGTCCATGGGGTCCAAGAGCCGATACAGCTTAGTGACTGAACATGCATGCACTGCAGGCTGGGAATACTGGTGAACAAAATAAGAATCTTGCTATCAGAGAAACCTTGCTTTAGTTATGCACCCTAGGAAAACCAGTTTATGCCATAGGAAAGTCTTAGCAGGAAGATGATGATGATGATACAATTTATTATTCTTGGTATGATCTAGAGAGGCTTTTTAAAGGAAGAGTCTAGCTGAGCCATGACCAAAATGAATCTGTAGCAGAAGAAATGGGACAAAGAGACTTTGGAGTGGGAACCCAGTGGTCTATGAGAAAAATCTCACAGTTGTCTAGGGTAGATGGAGTAGAAGAGGCAGGAGTGGAGGGAAGAGAAGAAACTGCAGATGTGGACTATGCAGGGCTTGGATGCCTGGCTGAGGAGTTCAGGTTCCATCCCACTGGTGACAAGAAGCTTGCAGACCCCTCCAAGTGACATCTTAGTCCCCAGGAAAAGGGCATCACACATCTCCGGCACCCTTACTCTGAACACACACTCCTCCATTTTCAGCTCTTACTCTTTCTTACCACACATCAGACATGGGTTCTAGACCCCTAGTTAGGGGAGAAGGGTCTGAGAGCTTCCCCCTGGGGCAATTTGGGTCAGCAACTCTTGCTTCTGTCCATAGGAAGCCTGGTGGATTTTCTCAAGACCTCTGAAGGCATCAAGCTGACTATCAACAAACTCTTGGACATGGCCGCCCAAGTAAGGAGACTGGGGAGGGGCTGAGTATGGGCACAGGGCAATGGGATGCAGATGTCTGGCCCAGGGCTGCTGACATGTACCTGGCCTGCAGATCGCAGAGGGCATGGCATTCATTGAAGAACGGAATTATATCCACCGTGACTTGAGGGCTGCCAACATCCTGGTGTCCCATACCCTGAGCTGCAAGATCGCAGACTTTGGTCTAGCACGCCTCATTGAGGACAACGAGTACACAGCCAGGGAGGGTAGGTATGGGATATGAGGGAAGTCAGGGGTCTCTGGGGTCTGGCCTGGCAGACCCTGGTGACCTCACTGCCCTCCCTCCAGGTGCCAAGTTTCCCATTAAGTGGACAGCCCCAGAAGCCATTAACTATGGGACATTCACCATCAAGTCGGACGTGTGGTCTTTCGGGATCCTGCTAACAGAGATTGTCACTCATGGTCGCATCCCTTACCCAGGTCGGGGTCCAGGCTGAAAGGGTGATGGGGAAGGGCAGCAAATTCATGTCTTTCTTCTTCCTCCTGGGCTCAGAATATGAACCTTTCCAGCTGCTTCCTCTCTGTCCTCCTAGGAGTGGCACTCGTGCATCCCCAGTCAGGTGCTACATCTTGTAGGCCTGTCTTCCATCTCTGTCCCTGAATCTCTCTTCCTTCAATAATCCAGCTCTTTTATTTAATTCTAACACAGGCAGCCTAGTAGGTAGAAGAGGATCTGATCTGAGAGGCAAGAGGCCTGCTTTCTTTTTTCATTTTTTCCCAAGTTTTATTTATTTTAATTTTTGGCCACACCTTGCAGCATGTGGGATCTTAGTTCCCCAACTGGGGATCAAACCTGCACCTGCTGCATTGGAAGGCAGTCTTAACTGCTAGACCACTGAGGAAGTTCCCAGAGGCCTGCTTTTTATTACTACATCTGCCACTGATGCTTTCTCTTTGACTTTGATCAGATTATTGCTTCTTTCCCCAGTTGTAAAACGTGAGGTTAGAACAGTATTTGACCCATACGAAACACTCAAGAGTGTTAGGCTTTATTATTAATCACTTTGGGCAAGTGACTACCTTTCTGAGCCTCAGCTGCATGATATGAGAAGCAAGGTTATTTTTGAAAGAGCTTGACTCATAGTAGATGCTCATGAAACACTGACTTCCTTTCCCTCTGAAGCCTTCCAAGTCGAGTGAGAGAGATGTGTAAACAACCAATTCCCACCCTCTCCCACTCCTCGCTCTATCTCCTTGACAAAGTTCTTTACCACTGAATTCAGCCAGGACAGGAATGGAATTTTTTTGGAAGGAACTTGCTAGGAGACTCTGGGGAAAGGAAACAAAACACAAAGACAGGGTCAGGAGGTCGTGCAGCCCAGTGGCCAGACTGGCAGAAGCTTCTCACATCCTGAGCAGTGTGCCCAGAACTTTACTCCTGGGAAGGTAAAAACACCTTAGAATTAGGTGTGAGTGTGCAGGCCTTCCCTGGTCTGGACTTGTCCCATCAAAGAGTTCAAGGGCAGCGCTGGGTAGAAACATACTCTTGTCATCCTGCCAAGAGCTCACACTGCTCCCTTAGAGAATTTTTCTCCTAGAAGAATAAAGGCAATGAAAGCACGATGATAAATGGCAACTGACACATAGTTTCAGGGTCAGGGAGACTATGGGGAGTAATGGGGACCTGGGTAAACTTGCGTCTGCGCCAGCAGATGGTTGCTATTAAGACACCAGGGCCCAAAAAACAGAGCTGTGTTTTTTCAAGAGAAGCCAAAGCTTGGAGTTTTAGGAAAATTTGCCTATTTCCAAATATTGGTGATGATTCAGATTGTTTAAAAACACAATAAGGGGCCAAGCCAAAGTGGGTCTGTCTGTGGGCTATATTTAGGCTGGGTGTAGCCAATCGGTTTGCACCCTTGACTCTGTCCATCAGTGTTGTTTCCTAGCCTATGTCTTTCCGTGCCCTGATTTTTAAATGTGAGGGACACCTATCTAGAGGCTCCCCAGGGGCAAGGCTTGAGGAAAAGAGGTCTCTATTGACTAGGCTCCAGTTTGAAGCTTTGTAGGAGTAAAACTACTGTTTTGCTAGGATGTCTAGGAGTTAGGCTTCTCTTCTCAGGAGAATGAAGGAGAAATCAGAGGCCACACAGGTAATTTAGAAACAGGGAGTCTATTTCTGCTGTGACCATTCAGTTCTCCAGAGCAGCATCTCTTGTGGTCCACATGTAATGGGCCTCGCTGGTGGGGCCAGGATCAGTACAAAGGGAGGGAACTGGTCCAAAGATGACTTCATCTGGGTCACAGAGGGGCCTAGTGAATCTTCTGTGCCCAATGCAGGGTCTGCCTGACTGAGGCCCAGGATCCACCTGGCTTCCTGATGCAGCATCTCACGTGCCTGTTCCCAAAGCTGGAGAAACTTCTCCACTGTCCTGGCTGTGGGCCCCCATCCTGCGCTGGACCCTGATAGCGCCATCCTTCCCCACCAAATAATAATCATCACAGGTGCTCTTTATGCTCCATCTCCTCCTCCAGGCACCATCCTCAGGGCTGTGTACACACTTTCTCATTTAATCCTCACAACATCTCTAGGAGGTAGGAGCTCCTATTATCCCATTTTCCAAATAAGGAAACTGAGGCTCAAAGAGGGGCAGTGGGTCACGCAAGGACTCACAGCCAAACACGTGTGTGTTATTTCATGTTTAAGCCATAGCAGACACTCCAAGTGGCATGACTGACCTTTCATAGGCACTGCCAGTATAGCCTTACCATCCTTATCATCGATGAAGACCAAGATCCCTTTGGATTGGTGCTCACACCATACCTGTTGTCAGATATCTTCTTGACCATCACCCCTGCCTCTGGGCTTCCGAAGCCTGGAGCCTTGATGTTAGTTCTCCTATCAACCTCTAGGGATGACCAATCCTGAGGTGATTCAGAACCTGGAGCGAGGCTACCGCATGGTACGACCTGACAACTGCCCGGAGGAGTTGTACCAGCTTATGATGCTGTGCTGGAAGGAGCGCCCAGAGGACCGGCCCACCTTTGACTACCTGCGCAGCGTGTTGGAGGACTTCTTCACAGCCACGGAGGGCCAATACCAACCCCAACCCTGAGGGCTGTAGGTGACTGGGGCTTGCAGCCCTCCCACCATCTAGCCAACCTGGCTGGGGGAGGTGCCGTTCCTGTGTCATACCCATGTGGCCTATGCACATTTGGACTCAGCATGTGAATCCCGCCCATGTGCGACACATACACTTCTCATGTCTTATACACAGGATCTGTAGTTGCGTGGGCTTTGCACATGTGTCTTGTACATGTGTGGCCTGGGCATATATGTCTTGGACACTTGTCCAAGTTGTCTCTTTCTGGGTGCCCCCCTGACTTCCAAGACCACCAAAGAGAGGAGAGAGGCTGTGATTAACACCTGCTTCTCCCTGCCCCCTTTTCCTTTCCCCTGGTCATCAAGACGCTCTTTGAGGGCTGGGACCTTATCTAAAATACCTCTGTGTGCTCCTTTTTGGTGTTGGCACACATAAGGAGCTCAATAAATATCTGTTGGCGAAGATTGTACATCTTTCTGCTGCCCACTCCAGTCTCCTCTTCCTTGTGGGGGGCAGGGGGGGAGTGGACGTTCCGAAGATGGAAACTGAGACACCCTGATTTGGGGTAAAAGGTGGGAGGGATGAAGGGATGTCTGAACTTTTTCCAGCCCTGCTGATGTTGGGTGCCAAGAGAAGGTCCTTATACTTTGCGGTATGTGTTTTTTAAACCCCTTCAAGCCTCCACCCCTAGCCACCTGGGCACCCTAGCCAGAACCGTCTAGAGAGTAGATGTATCCCAAGACCCTTCCTTTCCCATTGTATAAGGGTGACTGCCTTTTCCTTTTTACAGCTACTGATTCAAGAGCTATATGTTCTGATTCACCTTTAAGGTGTTTTTAAACATTGAGTTAATCCACTCACTTAACAAATATTTATTGAACATTTACTGTGCACTAGGCAGTGGATAAGATCTCTGGGGAGCTTACAGGGAAGATAAGACAGTAAGCATCACAAAGAAATAAATGGTATGGTATGCTGCAAGATGATAGTGGTAAGGGGAAAATAGAACAAGGAAAGGGGGATTAAGAATGTCATATTTGGGGGAGGTTTGTAGTTTTAAAGAGGGTGGACTAGGAAGGTCTCATCGAGAAGGTGAATTTTGAGCAAAGATTTGAAGGAGGTGAGGGAGTAAGTGGTATAGGGGAGGAGCACTCAGGCAGAGGGAACAGCCTGAGGCAGAAACTTGAGACACAAAGGGCAAGCTCTGAGACAGGCTGCCTGAGGGAGAAGGATAGATTGTATGGGGCCTGGGCCTGTGGCTTCTGCAGGAGCCATTTTGAGACTCACATTTTAAAAGGATGGCTCTTACTGCTGTCTTAAAAATAGACTGAGAGCCTTCCCTGATGGTCCAGTGGAAGACTCCATGCTTCCACTGCAGGGGGCATGGGTTTGATTGCTCTTCTGGGAAATAAGATCTTGCATGCCAAGGCACAGCCAAAAAGTAAATGTGTGCTGTGTGCTAAGCCCCTGCAGTCGTGTCCAGCTCTTGCGACTCATGGACTGTAGCCTATCTACAGGGATTCTCCAGGCAAGGATACTGGAGTGGGTTGCCATTTTCTTCTCCAGGGTATCTTCCCGACCCAGGGATCAAACTTGAGTCTCTTATGTCTCCTGCATTGTCAGGCGGGTTCTTTAATTAAATTAATTAAGTAGGGCTTCTCTGGTGGCTCCATGGTAAAGAAGCTGCCTCCAGTGTAGGAGACACGGGTTCCATCCTTGATCTGGGAAGCTTCTACATGGTGCAGAGCAACACAGCCTGTGCACCATAACTACCGAACCTGTGCTCTAGAGCCTGGGAGCCGTAACTGAAGGCCCTGCGCCTTAGAGCCCATACTCCGAAACAAGAGAAGCCATTGCAATGAGAAGCCGAAGCACAGCACCGAGACCGTAGCCTCCGCTCGCCAAAATTAGAGAAAAACCTGCCCAGCAGTGAGGACCCAACACAACCAAAAAAAAAAAATTATGGAAAATTTAATTAATTAAAAAAAAAGGAAAGAAAATAGACTGAATTAGCAGCCAGTTTATAAAACTGGGGCAGTTTGGCATAAAACTCCAGATTTCTGTCTTCTCTTGAGAAAAAAGCAAGACTTGGCTTTTTCTTTGGGTTTACCTGGCCTCATGGAGCTGAGTAATGGCCACTGCCTTTAGGTGGGGCATGAGCTGTGCCTTTCACACCCTATTGCTCTCAGATTATGAACATAAGTGTTCGTGGCTATTTATCATCATGCTTGTGCTATGGTTTTTATAATAAAGAGGCAAATGAAAAATTTTTGCACACCGTATTTCTATTACAAAGTGTAAAAATTAAAGATGCCTGAAGATGGCAGTGTGTTTGAAGAAAGATGGGAGGACATATTTCTTTATGAAAGTAAAAAAAGAATCCAGTTTTAAAAATAAGCAAAGTACCTGACTCAAACCAATATAACTATAATATAAATCCACTCATTTACACCACCTTCCTGACCTCTGTAGGCATCTGAGTTTGTGATTCCTGTTCTGCATTTTATAAAATGCTGCCACACCCATGACCTCATCTGATCCCACCCTCCTCCTTTTTTGGACATGGCTGCAGCCACAGAGTTGATGAACTTTGTTTTTCTTACACTCTATTTTACTAAGCGGGAAATGGGGACACAGAAAGTTTCCTGGCTGGCAAGCAGCAATACAGAACTGGCGATACGGTTTATTTCTTGGTCCTTTGCTGTTTCTATAATAGAAGCGCCCAACACCACCACCTAAAGGTTAGACAAAGCATCTAAGCCAACCCTCCGACCCCCTGGACACACATCTACCCTCACCCCATATAAGGAACAAGCTTCACCCCCCACCCCCGGACGGTGGTGGTGGCGGGGGAAGGCTAGCAAGCAAGCAAGGAAACCTGTTGTTTGTTCTTGCTCCCTGATGCTGCCGGCTGCTGCCCTAGGGGCCCCAATAAAGCCTTGTCTGAAAAAAAAAAAGTGCCCAAACTTATATCTCCTGTTACTTTTAGAATTAAAGGCTCAAATGCAGTTCCCATGTGAGGAATACAAGTGACCAGGCTGTCTTTAGACTAAGTCATGTCCGACTCTTTTGTGGCCCCTCCCCTCCACCAGCCTGCTCCTCTGTCCAGGAGACTTCCCAGGCAAGAATACTGGAATGTGTTGCCATTTCCTTCTCCAGGGGAATCTTCCCCACCCAGGGATCGAATTTGTGTCTCCTGCACTGACAGGCAGATTCTACTGTAAAGAGGCATAAAAATGTATCTTATTGACTGTAGAACCATGAGTAACTTACTTGGCACACAGTAAGCACTCACTAAATATTAATATTGTAGTTGCCTCTTAAATAGTCCACCACAGTGCTTTTCAGCCTTTAGCTTTCAATAATGATTGACTGGTTGATCTAGTGCAGTGGTTCTCAAGGATAGGGCTGGGGGCACGTTCATACTCCCTCCAATCCTCTCCTCTTGCCCTGGAGACATTTTGCCTTGAATAAGTACAATTTTTGTTGTCACAGCTGCAGGGGGCTGGGGCAGTGCTACTGGCATCTAAAAGTAGTGGCCAAAGTGAAAATGTTAGTCACTCAGTTGTGTCCCACTCTTTGGGACCCCATGGACTGTAGCCCACCAGGCTCCTCGGTCCATGGAATTCTCCAGTATCCTTATACTGGAGTGGGTAGCCATTCCTTTCTCCAGGGAATCTTCTCCACTCAGGCACTGGACCTGTGTCTCCAGCATTGTAGGCAGATTCTTGATTGTGTCAGCCACTAGGGAAGCCCAGGATGCTGCTAAAAAACCTACAGTGCACAGGATGGTCCCCCACAACATATTTGGATACTATCCAAAATATTAATAGCTTCAGTATCTTTAGAAACTCTGGTATAAGTGACAGTTTCCTCCCATCTAAAGGCATTGCTTAGCCCTCCTGGGTGACTGCATCAGGGAGGCAGGCTTTGGAGTAAGAAAGGCTGGGTTCTGTGCTTCTGGAGTCAAGTAAGCGTTTAAAAAAAATCTGTGGTTGAAAACTGAACGTAATTATTGTGTGACTCTGAGGAAGTCACAAAGTTCTCAACTTCATTATCCTTGTCTGTAAAATGGGGATAAAAGGCCCCATTACAAGGCCGCCAATAGCAACAACAAAGATGGCTGAGATAACGTCGGTAAAGCTGTGGCACAGCCCTTGTCTACAGCAGTTTCCTGTCGTTTGTCACTTTATTTCTCCTCCTCCAAACTTAGCTAAGTGACCTTGAGCGAGTCACTTTCCATCGTAGGCCTCTGTCAAATGACAAAGTTGGCCTCTGATATCCAAGCAATCTCCCAAAGCGAAATGGGACACCCAAGTTAGCAGGCCCACTTTCTTCCCCCGGGACGAATGGTACGGTCCCGGGGCAGCCCCACCCCCCCCTGTCGCGGACCTTGGTACAGGCCCAGGGGGCCCTCGGAGGCCTCGCCGGGCTGCCCTTGCCCCCCGCCGAGTTCCGGGCCGTCCCAGCGCCGCTGACTGGCTGGAGCGGTGCCCGGGCTGCGCGGCTATAGGTGAGCCCGGGCGGGGATGGGCGGAGCGCGCTGGAGGCCCGCCCCCTCCCCGCTGGGTCGGACGCTGAGCGGAGCCACCGGCGGGAGGGCGGACGGACCGACTGACGGGAGGGACGGGAGCGAGCAAGATGGCGCAGACTCAGGGCACCAAGAGGAAAGTCTGTTACTATTACGACGGTGAGCACAGTCCTCGCGCCGGGGGCGGGGCCTGGCCCGAGCCGGGCGGGATCCGGGAGAGGGAGCCGAGGAGATCCGAGGGGGGAGGCTGAGGCGTTTGGGAAAGGTTGAGGGAGGAGGCTGAGAGAAGGAGGCTGAGGCTGAGAGAAGGAGGTCGAGGCTGAGGGCAGAGGCTGGAAAAGGTTGGGGTTGAGAGAGGAGGCTAAGAGGAAAGGAGGTGGAGCTTGAGGGAGAAGGCTGAGGGGAAGGGGGTCGAGGCTTAGAGGGGAGGCGGGGTGGGGGGGGGGCTCCGAGGTCAGGAGGGTCGCCTGGGGAAGCCTGAGGTCACCTTGGTGGGGAATTCTGAAGTCTGATGTGGAGTTTGCGGCGGCCTCCTAGAGGGGAGGCTGAGTCCGAGGCAGGAGGCAGAATCTGGTGAAGAAGATTGCCGGGTTACATGTTCTGCTGAGAATCCTAAGATCTCTCAGTGCCCCTTTCCTTCCTCATCTCTTTTGGTGAGAGGCCTGCAGGGCTCAGCACCTAGAGGTCACCAACTCCCCTCCCCCTGTCTCCCAGCGGGCCCTGCGGTTGCTGCTGGGAAATGGGACTCCTGGGATTGTAAGAAAAAGGATGCAACTTGTTAAAACAAACTTTTTCGTTGGACAGAAATCTGTGGAGCAGCAGCTTCTTCTGTTCTAGGTATCGTTTAGGGGCTGAGGCCAGGGGATGGTCTTGCCACCTTCCTCTCACTCAGTCTGGAGGAGCGTATAGACCATGACAGAAAAATTGCTCTACACTATCAGGTTGAGAGGAAGGACAACTCAGAGTTTGCTGGGAGCACAGAGAAGTATCTGCCCAGCCTGAGAAGTCAGGCAAGGAGGTGCCATCTCAATTAGGACCTGAAGAGCAGGAGTTATTAACTAGGCCCAGGAAGGGCAAAGATAACAACAAGTTGAGAGGTAAGAGAGAGGCGAGCACCTTTGAAAAATGCCCGGATGTACAATATGGTAGAGGCATAAATTTGATGGCACAGTGTTAGAGGTGTAGAGCAAGGGTGAGAAAAAGGTTGCAAGTGATGAGGCTGGAGAAGTAAATGGGGGCCAGATCATGAAAGGCTGGGCACGCCACCCTTAGGAAGTTGGATTATATTCACTGGTGAATCATTGAAGTCTTATGCAGGTTAGTGACATCATCAGATTTATTGTACCTTAGAACTATCACTCTGGAACAGAAGTTAAATGCATGAATGGAGAAGTAAGGAAAAAGGCAAGGATCCCAAGTATCTAGTTTGGGCAGTTTCATGCTGAACGTAGAAGGCCATTTCAGTTGATAATATTGGGTGTTTTTATTTTTATTTTTTGGGGGGGTTTTGTTTTTTAAAGAAACATTTGTTGAGATGTCTGGGGGATATCCCAAGTAGAGGTGTCCAGTAGGCAGTGGCCATTCAGGTCTGCAGTTTAGAAGACAAATGAGAAGATAGAAATTTTTGATGATTGTCAGCATACATATATTCAGCTGATAATTTTAGTTACAGGAGAGGATGCAGTCACCCTTGTATCCCATATAAGAAATTGTATAGGGTGAAAAGAGAAGAGGGTCCAGGGTGGGATTCTAAGGAAGTGAGCTGAGAAAAAGTCTAGTGTTCTTCATGCTCTGTACTCCCGGGTATGTAGAGTACATTTGTACATTAGTCACTGTGTATTGGAATTGCCCATTTACTTATTCATACTTCTTACAGAAAGTGAACTCCTTAGGGAAAAGGGTCATGTTTTGTCTTACCTTTGTGTACTCAGCCCCCCAAACAGTGCCTAGCTCATAGTAGATTCTCAAAAAATACTGTTCATAGAGTGAATAAAGATACAGAGGGAATGGCTTGAGATGTAAGTGAACCAGAAAGTGTTGGGTTACAGTAGCCAAAAGAGGGAGGGAGTGGCCAAGTGTTGGCAAGAGCTGTTTCCTGTGCAGGATTTAGAACTGAAGTTAAATTGCTGTAGACTGAAGGGATGAGTGAAGAGGAGGCATTAGATTGAACTTTTTTTTTAAAGGGAACTTTTTTTGGGGTCATAGCACCCTGTGTGTAGGGTCTTTGTTCCCAAGCCAGGGATTGAACCTGTGCCCCCTGCAGTGGAAGCACGGAGTCTTAACCACTGGACCACCATCGAAGTCCCAAAAAGGAAGCTTGTTGAGACAGAGAGAGCGTTATTGATAAAGAGGAGATGTAGTGGCTGAGAGTTAAGTATGTGCAAATTGTTATGGAAAATAGGGAGAGGTTGAAGATACTGGAGAGAGGGGCTAGTAATGATGGAGGTCCCTGAGGAGAGATCAGGTGAGATGGAAACCAGAGCACACATAGGGACACCCGTCTTTTAAGAGGAAGTTCCTTTGGGATGAGAGGGTAAGTGGCAAGAAAAAACGTGTTTGAAGGAGAGAAGATGGAAAGGAGAGGGGGCTTTCAGGATGAAGTAAGCAAATATTCCTTTTCCTGAGAGTGGGGAAGGGCAGTTGGGTAGAGTAGGAATCTTGAAGAGAGATAGCTGTTATGAAAGAGGGAGCAGGAAAAAAACATTTGAAGGATTGCTGGGCAGTGGTGAGGGCCCATTTGAAGCTGGAGTTTGTGACTTCATAGCTTTATCAGTTTGCACAGTTTTGTGATCTCCACATTCTCAGTTTAAAAAGAGAGAAAGTGGAAAGACCTCCATCTTTAGAGAAGGGTGATCTCTTCCTTTCTGAGAAACTACTTGTGAGTTTCTCAGTGAGGTCACTAGTTTGGGACTGAAATTTGGCTCTGCTGCTCAAAAACTTTGAAGTATTGGACAAGTCATTTTACCTTTCCAAGCCTCAGGCCTCTCCCCTGCAAAATGGAGAAACTATGAGAACAGTGCAGAAAGTCCTTTTTAATAAAGTTTTAAAAAGTTTAAAACAGCTGGACTGGTTCCAGGACCCCAGTACAGATATCAAAAGGATGCTCAGGATCCTTACATAAAATGACACAGTACGGTAGGTCTTCCTTAGCCAGGGTTAGTGGATGGGGAGGGCCAATTCTTATCTACAAGGGTTATTTTAAGTCTCTCAGCAACCTGATTAAAAACTGTTAAAGACAGGATAGCATGTTTGGGCCCCGCCCTCAGGTACTCGGCTTTCTAGATAAGTTATCTCAGTTCCCCAAGTCTAAACCTTGGCTGGATTCTGGCTTGATAGGCAGGGGAGTTGCTAGGGATCAAGACCTATAGCAGAGACATGGGTCAGCAGGAATCTAATTTATATAACATAGCAATGACCTTGTGACTCCTGACAGCCCACAAATTGGGTCTGCATCTGAAGACTTGGACTTACCTGGTGGCTTAGATGGTAAAAGAATCTGCCTTCCATGCAGGAGACTCGGGTTAGATCCTTGGGTCAGGAAGATCCCCTGGAGAAGGGACTGGCTACCCACTCCAGCATTCCTGCCTGGAGAATTCCATGGACAGAGGAACAACCTGGTGGGCTGTGGTTCATGGGGTCAAAAAGAGTGGGACACAACTGAGCCACTGACACTTTCACTTTCTGGAAGTCTCAGCCAGTGCCTTGAGAACCTGTTCTACCCACCCCCGTGGCTGGTAAGGTTGTCTGAGGAGCCCTGGGAACAAACTTCTCTGACTGCCTTCCCTCCTACTGTATCTCAAAGTCTGTATGTATGGCACTGTTGAATGCCACTACATGCCGTGCTAGCTTGTGACTGTCTGAGAACACAGGCCTCGCTAAAATCAAAAGAGGATGAACACTAGGTGTTCACTAGGTGAACACTAAGGAAATCTAAAGTATGAACTTTTAGTAAATATTATCAATATTGCTTCATTAATTGTAACAGATACTTTCTCTTTCACTAATGTAAAATGTTAATAGAGGAAATAGTATAGTATCTAAGAACTCTGTACTTCTTTGCAACTTTTCTATAAACCTAAAATTGTTTTAAAGAATAAGGTTTATTTAAAAAGAGAGGGGCTTCCCTGGTGGTCCAGTGAGTGGGATTCTGCACTCCCAAGGCAGGGGCCTGGGTTCAGTCACTGGTGGAGAAACTAGATCCCACATGCTGAAACTGAAGATCCAGTGCTGCAGTAAAGATTTAGGATCCTGGGTGCCGAAACGAAGAAGACCTGCTGCAGCCAAATAAATATTTTAAAAAACAAAGAAAAGGATGAGATCTTAAATATCCAACTGTTTAGAAGTTTCCTATTATCACAGGCCATGTCTGTGCTAAAGAGAATTGAAGTACAGCTTGGATGCTGTTGGTGGCATTCCCCACAGTGCATTGCTCCCTGGAATGAAGCCTATTTCTGGCACTACTAAATCATTGATTAAGAGGTTGGGACCCTTTGTTTCACTGGTAATGAAAGATCTGCCTGATTCTAGTGAACTTCCAAGGAGAGAACTTTGGGTGTGCAATCACATGATTTTGAAATATGTTTCCAGCAACTTTCTACCAGGTAGACTACAGAGCCCTTTAGGTTAATTGCAAACTGAAGTAGGTACCTGGGAAACCTGATAAAGGTTTTTTTTTTTTTTTCTTAATTTTGAAAATTTTGACCACCCTACTTGGGCATGTCTCAGTTCCCCAACTAGGGATCAAATTCTTGTCTCCTGCATTGGAAGCCCAGAGGCTTAACCACTGGATCACCAGGGAAGTCCTGCTGATACAGTTTTTAACATCCTGGATTTGGAGTTAGAAGGGTTGACTCTCAGATCATTCATTAGCTCTGAGATTTTTGAGCAGGCACATAACTTCTCTTGAGTCTCAGTTCATTTCCTTGAATCTTTATTCAGCCTGGGGCATATTTGTCCTTGCCTTCAAGGAGCAGTCTTGTAGATATAAAATAGATATGTAAATAATTGAGATACAAAATTAAGTGCCATATATAAATTGCATGCAGAGGAAAAGACCATTTATTCTGATTAGGACTATGCCTGGAGCTTTAGCTGAGCTTTGTAGTGTGAGGAGGATGCTCAGAGAAGCAGTGACATTCCAGGTCAAAGGAACAGTCTGAACAAAGGATACTTTGGTATGAAGGTGAATGCATTCAAGAAGCTGACAATAATCTAGTGTGTTCATAGCAGAGATTGGCAGTTCAACTCAGTTCAGTTCAGTCACATCCAACTCATGACCCCATGGACTGCACTGTAGCACGCCAGGCTTCCCTGTCCATCACCAACTCCCAGAGCTTGCTCAAACTTGTGTCTGTTGAGTCGGTGATGCCATCCAAACATCTCATCCTCTGTTGTCCCCTTCTCCTGCCTTCAGTCTTTCCTAGCATCAGGGTCTTTTCCAGTGAGTCAGTTCTTCGCATCAGGTGGCCAAAGTATTGGAGTTTCAGCTTTAGCATCAGTCCTTCCAATGAATATTCAGGACTGATTTCTTTTAGGATGGACTGGTTGGATTTCCTTGCAGTCCAAGGGACTCAAGAATCTTCTCCAGCACTGCAGTTCAGAAGCATCAATTCTTCGGCACTCAGCTTTCTTTATAGTCCAACACTCATGTCCATTTGTGACTACTGGAAAAACCATAGCTTTGACTAGACGGACCTTTGTTGGCAGAGTAATATCTCTGCTATTTAATATGCTGTCTAGGTTGGTCATAACTTTTCTTCCAAGAGATTGGCAGACTTTCCGTAAAGGGCCAGATAGTAAATATTTTAGAGTTTGTGTGCCTGGGAGGGCTTCCCAAGTGGCGCTAGTGGTAAAGAACCCACCTGCCAGTGCAGGAGACATAAGAGATGTGGGTTCGATCCCTGGGACGGGAGTATCCCCTGGAGAAAGAGTTGGCAACCCACTCCAGTGTTCTTACCTGGAGAATCCCATGGACAGAGGAGCCTGGCGGGCTACAGTCCATGGGATCACAAAGGAGTCAAACATGACCAAAGTGACTTAGCATGCATGTGCCATATGGGTGGGTCTCTATAGTAATTATTTAGCTACTCAACTCTGCCATTATAATGTAAAAGTAGTCATAGATAGTAAAACTAATGGGCATTGTTGTATTCCAATAACATTTAGGAAAATCAAACAGCCAGTTGTATTTAACCCAAGTGCCATAATTTGCCTGCTAATGTCTAGAGCAAAATGTGTATGTGTATGTGTATGTGGTGTGTGTGTGTTGGGGTAGGGTGGTAGTGGTAAGAAGTTGGAAAAATAGATTAAGAAAGTCTTATTGAAGTTGTTCGTTATTCTTTATCCTATAGAGATAAAGGATTTATCTCCTTTAAATCCATTAAGGATTTTTGAGTAGGGTAGTGATGTTATCAAAGCTGTATATTAGGAAAATAACTAGTATGGCAGATAGTTTGAACTGACAACAGAGGGCCCAGTGGAAGGTTATTGCTGTGGATAAATCAGGAGATGGTGAGTTTATGGGGCTTCCCTGGGGGCTCTGCCAGAATCCTTGCCAGAATGCTATGGACAGAGGAGCCTGGCAGGCTACAGTCCGTGGGGTCGCAAGAGTCGGACACGACTTGGTGACTAAATAACCAACCAACCTGGTGGCTCAGTGGTAAAGAATCTGCCTGCCAGTACAGGAGACATAGGCTCAGTCCCCGATTTGGGAAGATCCCACAAGCCTCGGAGCAGCTTAAGCCCCCGTGCCACAATCACTGAGACTGTGCTCTGTATGGCCGGGAACCACAACTGCTGAGCCCTCAGGCTGCATGCCCTGGAGCCCATGTTCACAACAGAAGGCACTGCAATGAGAAGCCTGAGCACCATAGAGAGTAGCCCCCATTCTCGTCAACTAGGGGAAAGCCTGAGCAGCAGTGAAGACCAGCAACAGCCAAACAGAAAAAAAAAATTAATGGATAAGATAATTTAAAAGGATGATGAGTTTAGTCTATAATCTATAAAATGGGAATAATACTCCCTGTCTTAACTATTTTCCAGGGTTTTTGTGAGAATCCAGTAAGAAAGTGATTGTGAAAGTACTTTGACACCATAAAGTGTTATGATGTGCAAGAGGTAAACTGTGACTTACAGTAATTCTGAGTAGTGATGATTATTTTTTCTGTTGTGGGAGTGAATTCCTTGGAGACAGTGAGGTGAGTTACCTCACTGGCCGCTGTTCCCCAGTAGCTTTGGACTGACCTCCCTTACACTGTTCAATGCCTTTGGGTTCCCAGGGAAAAAACTGGGCTAGACAGACATCCTTAAGTGCTCATCTCACCATGGTCCCCGCTTTTTTTTTTTCTTTTGGAGTTACCCTTCCTTGAGGTGGGAGAGAATCTTGGAGCCTAGAATGAACCAGACAGAATTTGCCTAGAAATTTGTTGTAAAGATCTGTGGGTTCTCCTGGGAGTGTGTGTCTAACTGTGTCACTGAAGCCGTCACTCTTTCTTCTTCAGGGGATGTTGGAAATTACTATTATGGACAAGGCCACCCAATGAAGCCTCACCGAATCCGCATGACTCACAATTTACTCCTTAACTATGGTCTCTACCGGAAGATGGAAATCTATGTGAGTACTGGGAGCTTCACCCCTCCCTAGCCTCTTCGGCTCTGGTTCTCCATATATCATTCATTACCTCATTTTTTTTCAATGACTCATTTATTAAATGTGTTCAGTGACTGTTACATGGCAGACATTGTAAATGATAGAGATTCTTTGTTTTTTAAGGTGGTCACTCTAGTGCTAGTGAACAACATGTACACAAATTGTACTACAGTGTATAAGGGCAACAATTTAAAAAAATGTGTAAGATTCAGAGAGATTGAGGGGGGAACGTGGAAGGGAGCCTTGGAATGTTTCCTAGAAGTGATAGCTAAGCAATGTTTTAAAGATTATATGGAAATTAGCCTGGAGTCCAGGAGGGGACTAGCATTCCAGGCTGAGGGAAGAACATATACAAAAAGGCAGAAAGGTAGGAACAATATGATGTGTTTAGGGAAATATAAGTAGTTTAGTGTGCAGGTATTGCTGCAGTATAAAGTTGGCAAGCGTGAGAGAGGGGAGCTAGAGCTGGAGAGGTCAGCAAGAATTGGATGTGCTATATTAAGATATTTTGCTGGGCCAGGGTAAAAAAATCCAGTCCCTAAAAACTAAGTGATTGGAACTGTGTTGAACTCTAAGTTACTAGAGAGCATGGATTTTCTAGCCATTTGGCCCGGCTCCAGCTGCTGTCTTTTGCCACATCTTCCAGTTTTCTCTGATGGCTCAGCGGGTAAAGAATCTGCTTGCAATGCAGGAGATACAGGAGACATGGATTCCATCCCTGGGTTGGAAAGATCCCCTGGAGAAGGAAAATGGCAACCCACTCCAGTATTCTTGATTGAAAAATCCCATGGGCAGAGGAGCCTGGTGGTCTGTAGCCCAAAGGGTCACAAAGAGTCCGACACGACTGAGTGACCAAGCGCATAGCAGTTTTTAAAGAGAAGCCAGAACTCTGAATTATTACATAGACTCTCCAAGGTGTAAAATGTTGGCCCAAGTTTGTTTGTTTGTTTGAAACATGTAGGAACAAAAGCACATGAACATATTTGTGGGCCAAATTTGGTCCAAAGTTTCCCAGTTTGAATTTTCTGGAGGCTGTAAAAAAAAAAGTATTTATTCAAAACATTTTGTTTTATTTGTTTGGCTGTGCCTGGTCTTAGCTGTGGCACACAGCATCTTCCATCTTCATTGTGGTGTGCTGGATCTTTAGTTGCAGCATTCAGGATCTTTTACTTGTGGCATGCAGGATCTATTTCCCTAATCCAGGGATTGAACCCAGGCCCACTACATTGGGAATGTGAACTTTTAGTCACTGGATCACTAGGGAAGTCTCAAGTGAAGTATTTTAAACGAGAAATAGGAACAGGCATGCGTTTCAGAAGCAGGGAGGCTAAGTTAGGAGGCTGTTGCAAGAGGCCAAATGAAAAAAAAGGAGGGGCTGGGGGCCTGTGTTGCCTTATGGTTAGAGTATAAGGGTTGTTGAAGTCTGTGCTGACAGCTTAAGTAACCTAGCAGCAGCAGCATCCTTCCCCACCATTCCAGAGACTGAAAGGAGATGAATCTTCTGTCCGAGGTGGCTGTGTCATGTCTCTGGAGCCACTGGAGGCAGCTGGGGAAGCAAGAAGGGAAGGTAGACAGAGGAGCAGATGGAACTTGGGACCAGAGAGCATTTTCAGGTGTGAAGGGCATCTGGGAATGAAAAACATAAAAGATAACAGAGGTTTTCAGGGACTTTAGGCAACAGACTAGTATTTAGATTAAGAGAGGGTGAATGTGGAATAGTAAGCACCAGGGCTTTACAGGGCTGCCTGTTGCACATCTCAGCCATGCTAACCTGGCCTCAGTGTACCTCCTTCCCTGCCACTCGTCCCGCGTTTCAGCCAGATCAGATTCTGCCTCTTTCCACCCATTCTGATGGGGAGGATTATTTATTCCACCTACTCATGTCTTTCTCATTTTCAAGAGTTGATTTAAGCACTATTTCTTTTTTTCATTCAACAGATTTTTGTTGAGTACTTGTTATAACCCAGGGACTTTATTAACCTCCATGAGTGATACTGAGATATTGATAATAAAAAAAAGATCATATCTTTAAGTGAGAGGAGAAATTAACTAACATTTATTGAAGATTGCTAGGTACCAAGCCAGGGCTACTGTTATTTACTTAATCTTTATAGCAACCTTGATTTGAATCACTCTCCACTGTGCCTACCCTACACTCTATTTTTATTAAAGAAGAAAGCCCTTCGTAGCAACTTCCTAACAGATTTCCCCTTAAGTCTCATTGGGTCATTTGCCATACTTAACACCATTCACCAGCAATTTGATCCTTGGGGCTGCGTATACCCAACCGTATTGAGATCTGTTAATGAGAGGGAAGGGAGAGAATAGCCCTTTGGGAAGTAACCAACCGTGGCTGTCATAGGAGATAATAATACCTTATTGGAGATTACTTCATCTGTGTGGTATTCTTACTGTAAACTAAAGCAAAAGCCCAGTGTAATCTCTTTATGAAATCTCTAGGCCATGTTCTCTCTCTCTTTTTTTTTTTCCATTTATTTTTATTAATTGGAGGCCAACATTGCAGTGGGTTTTGTCATACATTGACATGAATCAGCCATGGAGTTACATGTATTCCCCATCCCGATCCCCCCTCCTGCCATGTTCTCTTTCATGTGATCTTTTTCCTTTTCTGGTTCTATCTGTCTTTTTTTTTTTCCCTTAAAAATTTTTTTAAAAAATCTTTCGACCATACTGCAAAGCTTGCAGGATCTTAGTTCTCCAACCAGGGATTGAACCTGTATCCTCTGCACTGGGAGCGCAGTCTTAACCACTGGACGACCAGGGAAGTCCCTGGCGCTACCTCTTTATTGAATATGAATCTTTAGTCCTCCTCTCTCAACAGTGTTTCTCTGCACTGATCTCTTCTTTCTTCTCCCTTCTCTGGGCTATGATCCTAGCATCCCTTTCCCAAAGGACAAATAGCCACACAATTTCACCCTCTTTGGTTCTTTTTCTACACATCTAATTAATCTCTCCCAGAATCTAAATCCTCACTTTTCATCCAGGCACCTTCCTATTTACATAATTAAGAATCCTGCTCTCTTCCTTGCCTTGGATGCTGATTTTGTATATTCCCAGGCTTCTTACTCATCGCCTTCTGTTCCTTTTTTTAAATGTTTTTATAAAATATTGAGTAGGTATGAAATAATTTTTATAAAATATATGTAAAGTATAAAGAATCACATTATTAATAGCACCTTGTTTAAAAAAAGGAATATTTCCATGACTGTTAGAACTCCTGTCTGTCCTTCCCTGATTCTGTCTTCTTCTCCAGTTAACCTTTGCCCTGAATTTAAGATTTATTATTTACTTGCTTTTCTTTATAATTTTACCAGTATGTATCCTTAAATGATACATATTTTACTTTTACATGTTTGAATGTTAAAAATGGAGCCATACAGTATTTATTATGTGACTTGCCTTTTTTGCTCAGTATGTTCCTCAGTCATTCATGTTGATACGTGTAATATATTTATTTTCACTGTATTTCAAAAGACTATACCACAAGTTGTCTATTTTATTGATATTGGTGGGCATTTGGTTTGTTTCTAGTTTTGAGCTATTACAAACACTGCTGCTATGAACATTCTTTTAAAAATATTTATTATTTTTGGCTATATTGGATATTAGTTGCTGTGTGCAGGCTTTCTCTAGTTGCGGCAAGCAGGGTCACTCTTCTTTGTGGTGCATAAGCTTCTCTTGCGGTGGAGCATGGACTTTAGGTGTATGGGCTCCGTAGTTGCAGCTCTCAGGCTCTACTGGGCTCACCAATTGTGGTGCATGGGCTTTGTTGCCCAGCAGCATATGGAATCTTCCTGGACCAGGGATCAAACTTGTGTCCCCTACATTGGCAGGCAGATTCCTAACCACTGGACCAACAGGTAAGTCCTGAACACTCTTGAGCATATCTCTTGGTGCACATATGCTTGAGTTTCACCAGGTGGTGTGCTTGGAGGATATAGGCACATAGTCATCCTTACTGCTATTTGGCATGCAGATAATGCCAAGATGATATTTCTCTTGTTACTAGTGAGGTTGAGGATCTTTTTACAGGTTTCCCTACTGAAGTTCCTATTCAGGCCTTCTGCCCATTTTTCTTTTTGATTGTCTGGTTATTCTTGTGTTTCTGTTGTAATTGGCCCTTAGATACATAGAATCAGGTTAATTGTTATTCTTGGCTTATGAACTTCCGAAGAAGATTCATGCTTGGCCATCTTTTTTTTAAAAATTTACTTCGGGGACTTCCCTGGTGGTCCACTGGCTAAGACTCCACACTCCCAATGCAGGGGCCCTGGGTTCGATCCCTGGTCAGGGAATTAGATCCCACATGCCACAACTAAGACCCAGCACGGTCAAATAAATATTTAAAAAAAAAAGTTACTTCATTTATTCATTCACTTTACTTAAATATTTTAATAATGCAGTGAACAGCCATATTCCTGCAACCCAATCATCTTCTAAATTTTGTGATTATTCTTTTGCTTATCATATTATTATGTTTATTGTGTATATATGTGCCTAAACAATATATTGAATTTTTTAAAAAAGGTAGTGTGCTATGTGTAGTTAGTTTTCTGGGACTTACTTTTGTCTCACAATATATATAATTACTAAAATCTATACAACTTGTTGCATATAGCTGTAATTCTTTCATTTTTCTCTGCTGAATAATATTTTATCATTTTGGTATATTGAAATTTATCCATTCGCCCATAATCTTAATTTGTATCTGTTTTTTTAAATTAATGCATTGTTTTGGCTGTGCTGGGTCCTCATTGCTGCGTGTGGACTTCCTGCAGTTGCTGTGAGCAGGGGCTACTCTTCACTGTGGTGTGTGGACTTGTCTTGTCGCAGAGCACAGGCTCTAGGTGCCTGGGCTTCACTAGTTGTGGCATAGGGGCTTAGTTGCCCCTCAGCATGTGGGGTCTTCCCAGGCCAGGGATTAAACCCATGTCCCCTGCATT